TAAATTAAGGGTATAAATTTGTATGGGTTTGGGAAGCATGGACCAGTGAGGCCTCCTCCACATGGACGTAAAACCAGACCAAATTTCAAAACCATCATTTGTTCTGTGGTTTAATTTGGTTGACAGTACCTTCTGGTTCTCCAAATTTGCCTTTTCATACTGGAAATAGAACAGGAAGCAGAAAGGGTGTACATCTGTATATGTATACAGTTGGCCAAAACTAAGGGTGGCGCAACAGCAGAGGGTGCAGTGAGAGTTACACTGAGAGGAGTCTAGAAGGAAACAACAGATTAAAAACCCTGGATCCCACATAACGTGCCATTTCTTAGTAACCAATAGCAGAGCAGACAATTTAAACCTAGGATCAAAAATGTTATCTGTTCACAAGCCTTCCTGAACACAGATTAAGTCATCTCGACACTGTTTATATGTAAATATTAGTTTTAAAAAGAAAGCAAAAAAAAAAAGAACGAAATGAACAAGAATTACTGAATACCATCTACATCCAGAACTATTGCATAACAATTTAACTTTTGCTTGAAAAATCTAAATGTTTTACATATATTGAAACTAAACAGTTGGGCTGTCTTCATTGGAATAAAGCTCTTCATATTCACAATATTAACAAAACATTTGTGAGATTAAGTAATTAGAAATGGTGTGGCATAGAACAATCTTTCCAGCAAAACCAATCCACCACCAAATTTACGGCTAAAACATTTTCGCACAATGGCAGAGACACAGATGAAAATAATTTGACACATCGTAACTGCCGATGGCAAACCTAAACTTAAAAAAAAAAAAACTTTACAGACAATGTTCTGAAATCTCAGTGCCCAAAAGCAAAATTTGGCCAAAAAAACAACAACAAAAAAAACATGAAATACCAGGTGACGAGAAAGATCCATTAAAAGAAATACGTAGAACAGTCATAGTTTCACTTGTTCTGTAGTGAGGGAGTAACACAACTATGTTAGGACCTACTGTATGTACAGAGAGAGAGAGAGAGAGAGAGGAACAGAGAAAATGAGAGAGCAATAGAGAGAGAGAGACAGTGTCCTATGTCGACCTCCCGTCAGATTCATCGTGAATACACTTTGTCTTAGCTTTGAGCGCAAACTTGTCTAAGTCATTCCTGTCCAGTGCACCAGTCTACAGGCTGAATCAGGAGATCTCCGAAATGAGAAAAATGAAAGGTATTATGCCGGAATGATAAAGGCACACAGTCGAAAATATGTAGAACTCCTTAGTCATTCCAGCTTTCTGTCCAATATCTATTTAATAGTTGGATTTGCCACTGTCCTGTTTTGTTTCAAAGTGCCAGAACGTGTCAACCTGAATTTTGTATACATCATATGGATATATGTACATACAGAGTATTTGTACACATATATCTAGTACATTTTTCAATTTTAATTTTGCATATTCTTCTTGACATTTGTCCACATCAACAGTTGACATCTACCTGATGTTATTGGTCTTTCTGTTCCAGCAAGTTTTTTTTTGTCACAATCAGTTAATGTTGATTTTGCCGTCGATTAACCATTATCATGAATAATTTAGATTAAGCCACAGCTACCTGATCTGATTGATCAGATTGACAGCACTGATAACCATCCTGTAGTAAGTGCATCTCAAAGCCGGTCGTGAAGAAGCTCTCCTCGCCGTACCTCATGTATAATATATTGTCATGGCTAATGGTATGTGTACAACTGTAATAAAACCATCTTATTCAAACTGCTATTAATACATTTCTGTAAAAGGTTTCCCAACCATCCAACTGTATGCCACTGTTTGTACGCTGAAAGTGAATGACAGACTCAACGAGCTACAAAAAGGCCCCACAAACATTCCTTCAGTTGCACTTGTTTTCAGCGTCACATCTCAGGTCAATTCACTCACTCCATGTACCTTACAGGGTAGAGGCCACATATGCATACACACACGGTCTCACACACACACGCGCGCAGACACAAAGGCACAAAGTATTGCTAATGTTGAGGATGCATTGAGTGATAGAAAGGATCTATCTAAACATGTAAATGAACCATTTCACACATGCATCCTTTGACTCCTCGTGATAAAAACAGTTTCCATAAAAAGAGGTGCGTTATCTTTCTAACATGCAAAAAAACAAAACAAAAAAAAAACAAAGACACCCACACAGTTATAAACAAAATCTACTAATGTACAGTACCGGGGAAGGTACGCCATTTGGTATTTTAGCGCAGACAAACACGCACGGGTAAGCCAATGTATAAGACTTCAAAAACACGGAGCTGATCGTTACGTACAAATCTTAGAAAAAGCTAAGGGAGTGTTGTATATAAAAAACGGAACAGGAACAAAGTCAAAGATGTTCTCAGGCCAGCAGTCAGCTGACGCTCCATCATGACCTAACAATTTGAACTCACTGGGGCAGATTTGGCCGACTCAGCAGAGACAGTGGAACAGTTTTCTGAGGGATGAGGTGCCTCTAACTCTCCTCAGGACTTCTTCAAGTACTAAAACTCGGTTCTGCTCCCGCCCTGAACCAGTCTGACACCAGCAGTGTTTAAGGTCAGAGAGGGTGACGAGCGGGTCAGCGGACAGGAGAGAAAAATCTTGAGACCGCCGAAACAGGAGTCAACGACTGTCTTTTAGATCCAACATGGACCAATAACGTCAGAGGAGCTGGAACCGAGAAGGAAATGTTCAAAATCCAGCAATGTGCTTACAGGAGCGAGAGGAAGGACCGGACAAGTCACTGTGCAACTGTGTCACTCCAAAGCCACGGTTTCAAACAAGCAGCAGATGAGTCGGCAGCTACTCCAACACACACACGCACCCACGCACACACACACAGTTACATTCACATGAATAAGCATATAGCAATAGCAATAACTTCCGCTTCTCTTACTCCTTCCGATGCACAATGAAGAGATTTGATCTCTTAAACATCTTCTCCATGAGGACACTTCTTCGTCCTCCTTCTCATGTCCTGTGTGTTGTCCTCTGTTACCAGCCGATCAGGTTGGCTTTGGCCTTTTCTGTCAGCTTGCGGACACGTCCCTTAGAGGATGTGCCAAAAGTGATTGATGAGTCCTCAAACAGCAGCTGCCTCTGCTCCTCCTCAGAGTCCTCCTCCATGTACCAGGCTGACCTTCGGCCCTGGTTGCGTGTGCGCATGGACCCTCCTGCCTCCTGCCCGTCCTCCTCTTTTGACAGCTCCCTGCGGTTGGACCGCAGAGGGGCAGTCTGTGGAGGAGGGCTGAGTTCCTCGTTACCTTTCCTGTTGCTCCTTCTCAGCGGTGAGGGCTCAGGAGACTCTGCAGGTGGAGAGGATTCTTCAGTTCTGACTGTCCGAGGCCGGCCGCGTCGTCGTGGTGTCGATGCCACGCCCGAGTCTGACAGCACAGATGTCTCCTGCGCAGAAGACGCTCCTCCTTCATCACCTGTGGACTGGTCGATCTCATCATCGGGGGTCGGGCTCCTGTGATTACCACTCTTGTTCAATTCTTCCAGCTCCTGCTTGCTCTTCCTCCCCCTCTTTTTGTTAGGTGGGCGGCCTCGGGGTCTGGAGGGGCTCACTGGAGTTGGGACTTCTGGAGAACTCAGCGGTTGGTCAGTCTTGGGTTTTCGCCCTTTCTTTCCCACACTTAATGTCACTGGGTTACTGTGACCATTCAGGTGGACTGTGGCTGGGGCTGGAGTGTTAACTGGAGAGCCTGAGAGGAAAATGTCTATGTGAGATGACCTCAAAGATACACAGGGTAACTAAAGGTTTCTATTTAAAAACCTAATTGGTCTCAGGTCATTATTAATTAAAAGTCATTAGCGGTGTCAAATTAACACCAAATAAAGATGTGAAATTAATAACATTTTTAACATGATGGGCAGTAACGTTGACTGTACATCCACTAATTCAACTAATATGGATTAGTCACAACAATATATTTGTTCCAACAATATACAGGAACAAAAAATTATTCATGAATAATCACAGCAAGTCACTTATTAGTGAGCTTTATATAATATATTAAAATAAATGTAAGTAAAACAATGGCAGCGGTGGGATTTGAACCCACGCCTCCAGAGAGACTGGAGCCTAAATCCAGCGCCTTAGACCACTCGGCCACGCTACCATACCCATGCACGGCCCGGACAGTTCATGTGAATTAGGGCAGCATGCCTTACCAGGGGTAAGTCGTACTGGTGTTCTGAGTTTCCTTCTGGTGCTTCCTCCAGTGCTTCGATCAGCAGCTGGAGAGAGGGTCTCCTTGTCGGGAACCGGGGGAGTTGGAGCCGATGCAGAATTATGAGTCCTCAGTGAACGAGTAGACTCTGAAGAAGACAAGGAAGCATCTCCTCAGATTTACTCTTTAAAATTCAAAGGCCAGTAATAATTTGTATATAAATATATATTAAACCAGTGATATAAAAATATCCAGCCCTGTCAGGTTCCTGGACACTGCACTGCTCTACACTGTACACTGACAAGTGGCCTCACCTGCTGTGGTTGGCGTGCTGCTCGTGGTGCTGTGTGAGGCGGGTGAGGTGAGTGGGGAGTGCATGGAATGGCGTGCTGCACTCCGCGTTCTCCCTGCTGCTTGCGTGTCTGTTTTCCCATTCAACAACTGGAGTGGCTGTTTTTGGGGAACACTCTGTCTCAAGGAGGGGGGCCGCAAGGGAGGGGGCGACGGCTCCCTTTTTGCAATCACTCTGGACGATACGCGTCTTTTCCTCTCAGGGCTGAAAGGAGACAACAAAGTTTAATTACTAATCCACCAAAAAGAGCCACAGAAGAACCAAAGAAAAAAAAGGTACCTTGACGCCGTGCTGCTTGATGGAGACTCACTCCTCCTCCTCCTCCTCCTCTTCATGGCGTGCCGTGTCTGTCTGTCTGTAGTGAGTCTTGTCTGTCTGTCAGCGCCCCTCGTGGTCAGTTTATCTGTCAGACCGTGGATGGCCTTGTAGTCGGCTAAGATGGGGCTGACGTGCTCCTCAAACAGGGCAGAAAGCCTCAGACTCATACTGTAAATCTGAAGACGTTATAGATATTTGTTTAAAAGGTGTCTGGTGGATTAAACAACTATTTTATTTTATTTTTTGTGACAGTAAAAGACTCACCCGTGACTTCTTACTGGGTGTGTATGCTTTGGAATTGCTGAATATAAGCCTGACGTCTTTGCAGAGCTCAATAGGAGACTGGTACTTTCCATCGGTGAGTGTGTTGAGGACAGTTCCAAAGTCCATGGGAGAGTCAACTATTTGCAGGTAGTCCTTGTGTGTGAGTAGAATAAAGAGCAGATGAACAGAAGAAGCAACAAAACGTGGGGAAGGAGCAAGAGAATTTGGTGAATGTAGCTTTAAGATAAAAACGATTTGTTAGAATTCTACATTTCTCCTCGTACCAAGAGAACTCTCTTGGTTCTTCACAGCTAAACTACTGACCTTCATTCCAGTTTGTAAACACAGCGGTCTTTCTACACTATCGCCTTAATCCATAAAAACAACCTTTGTCTAACTGAATTACAGCCCCTTAAGCTCCAGACAGTGTAGGGAGAAATATCCATAAAAGTCTTTGGTTAATTTATCACTTTTTGTGTCCTTGGTAATAGGATTAACTTATACATACCGGATACTCCTGTAGGTCCACGGGCTCTCTGAAGGGCTCCGAGTCTTCACACTGGAAGATCAGGTCCAGCAGCTCCTTACAGCGCCCTCTCCATGCATGTGGGTCATATGAAGGAGGTCTGGTTCGCTGTCTGCGCTGCGTAGTTCGACTCCCCTACGTCGACAAATGACATACATTAATAACTGTATTATGCTGTGATCCTGCTGGGAAAAAAATTGAAGGATTTCTTCTTTTTACCTTGTGTTTTTGAGTGGATGTTCCCGGTGTGTTTGTATCTTCATCCTCTTCATCATCCTCCTCATCCTACAATGGAGAAAGAGACTAAGTTCATGTGCAATGAACTGTAAGAACGTTCTTTTTCCAATAAGAATAAAAAGGACACCCAACACCAAAAATGTGTGATGTCAAAATAAAGCTACAAAAGCTTGGGATCCACTGGATTAACAGAAAGTAAGAATGTTTGTTCACCTCGTCTTCTGAGTCAGAGAAGGTTGCCTTCTTCATGGTTTTATAAAGTGGCATAATATCTGTCATATTTTGGTCCCTGGAAAAGTACAAAAGGATAGGAAGTAAATAAAAAAAACTGCATGGGTAATAAATCAATTGATGACCCCCCCACTTTGTAATCCACTCACTTAATGAACTGCAGCATGAGGTCAGAGACAAACTTGGCGGTGGTGACGATGAAAGCTCCGGGTTCATTGAACGTCTGGGCGTTGTGTTCAATGTAACGGACCTCCCACATCAGAGAGGACAGTCGTCTGAAAGGAAGACATGCAGTTGGTTCATAGAGACACCTACTGTGTTCCATACCTCACAGTGTGGACAACGGGACTGTGTTACCTGTAGAAGCGGTTCACCAGTCTCTGTCGTATCGTGCTGAGGTCAGTGACGTAGGCTACAGCGGTGCAGTATGTGGGATAAGCCTGCAGGTCCACTGGGAAGGCAAACGGTGCAGCTACATCTGTGGGTGACAACAGGTGAGGGGTGACAGGCGAAGGGAGGATTACTACCAAAAAAGGTTGACAAGTCAATAAGGAGAAATGTCAAAGAAAACGCCGCTAATGATAACAGATAGTTAATAGTTAACTTCAACATTCCTGTTAAATTCACAGTTATCTTCTGCAAGGCCAAACAAAATCACAGCGCGCCAAAAATGCATCTGTAAGCACGATCCAACTTTCCTCCTACGCAAAATCAAAGGGTTCCTTTCAGTATAGAGCTGAAAGCAATGCTAACTGGTTTGTTTGAAAAAGAGAGTGTTTTTAGGCAATATAATGGAAAACATCTGTAACAAGAAAATGCACAAAATGATTAAGGAAGATGACAGACGTGGCTCATTTTGTTGATATCTCACACTGATCATTTACATGAGGATTAACGACATCCTCACATAAAGATCATACACGTTTAAAGCAACATATGCATTAACTTACTTCCTATTATTCCTCTTTAATATTAGAATTTAACTATGGATTCTGCCTGTGAGCCAACCGCAGCCCAAAGCACACAGCTAACAGAGAGAAGGCTTTAGAAGGATTACACGCTGCCGTTTGCAGGGGTTCATGTGTGCTTTTCTACCAACTATCACTAGAGGGAGCCCCACAGCCAGATTTCGTCAACCAGGGAGATTGCAGCAGTATAAAGTCATTGTCTAATATGACATTACATCATTTTATAAAAATACAAGCAAGCACTGACTGTCTGACTCAACATGCCAACAGCTTATTCCTTTGGAACAAAGGATCCACAGCTTAGCTGCTGAGCTCACAGGAGTGACTTATACTGCGAAAGTCATACTGTCATGACATACTTCCACAAGATCTGTAGCTTTCCGTTAAATGTCCACATTATCACACATGGTGAAACGGCACGCTTATCATAAGAGGAACTCGATGTTATTGTACCGAGAGTGGAGAGCTGGTCGATGGCTTTGATGATGCGTTCACACTCCTCTACGCGTGTGCGTGAGCCCCATTCTCCATCCACAGGGACGTACAGCAGCTCCTTCTGTTCCTCTTCTGTGAGCGGGACACTCAAGCCCAACTCATCAGGGAACGTGGCTATAATGGAAAGATGGTGGGATTTAATAAAAAGAAAAAAAACACATGAACAGAGAATGTGTGTCCCATCGTACGTGTGTGTATTTGGAAAACTCACCATCGTCAGGGACAGGCTCCATGTCCCATGGACTCATCTTCTCAGTGTCTCCGTTGTCCCAGCTGCAGGAGAAAGAAGTGTTGACATGAATCACTGACATTCACTACTATGCAGTTCAGTGTGTTTTCCTTTGGCAAAGGTGACGTGCAGTGTTGTAAGCGGTGGAAATCTTTCCCTGATGTTGTCCAACTGTTCCATGTCAACCATTCTGGACCAACTACTAAGGACGTCTCATCTGTTCTGAGTTATTTTAAGTCCAGAACTCATACAGTTCACATTAACAGAGATAAAATCCATACAGTTAAGATAAAAGAAAAGTCATTTCCACATGACTTTTATTCATGAGTCTTTTGTACAGACTGCTGTTAATCCAGGAATGTACTGATACTTTTACCAGTACTGGTACTGAGCCCTATACTTCATTCAAATACTTGTATTCAGAAATGCGTGCCAATCAGGCCGCCCAATATTTAGAATGGCTTTTCACTTCAACCAGTTTTGACAGCTCACTGTGTGTCGTGTGATTTCCTACTTCAGCTCATTGCCCTCATGGGCATGGTAGTCATCAGTGTAACCTTCCCTTTTTGTTCAGCTGGCTGTGTTCTTTTATCCTGAGTTTCAGTGATAGATTGTCTCATGTGACAACAGTGTCAGTTTGAAGACCTTCTGTTTAATAAAGAACCATTTGTTTCTTTAAGGCTTGAAATAGCCTTCTGGTTATAAAGAGGAAAGAAACAACTGGTAAACATTTTTCTTGCTTGGTGTCCTCACTCTGGTTTGGGTTGAGCTCGCAACCACACACTGCACGTCACCCTATATTCCACAGAGCTGTGCCATTTCTATAAACATAAAGATTTGAATTTTGTCATATACTTTTTGAGACTCTAAACCTAACGGATGATGTACTCAACAAGTACACAAATGAAAGTTTGTTAGTTAATATTTTAGCTTTTAACAGCTCAGTTAATATGTGAGCATTACCATTACTTCACATATGGTGACCCTATGAGTCATCTTAATGATACAGTAAATTCCTGTGACTGAATACAGTAGAACAGTAGTACAGTGACACCATCTGCAAACATACATGATCGTGCCCGTGTGACTTGTTTGCTTCAGTAATGTAAATGCTTTCAAGAGCAGCGAAATACATACCAGACGTTGTAGCACTGGAACATGCTGTCAGGATACTGAAGCTGGTAGGGCTCCTGGCTCTCAATGGTCCCGAACCACCACGCATCATCAATCACTGACCGGAACCTGTCACCTATGATGACATCACAGGGAAGTATTCAGCACCTGTTACTAAGCTGACCATTCAAAGTGGGGCACGGACATTTTTTTTTATTGGAGGATATTTCAGCCTGAATACACTCAGCGGTGCACTCATAAAAGTAAGGAACTCAAAGGCACTGTATTATATTTTCACCACAGACAACAAGTGAGAACATGTTGTATTTTTAACCCTTCACATCTATCATCATGCAATTATCTCCTACTCTAGTCAACAAAGTAAGCGTTGTCTGACCTATTCTCCACTGCCGGTCTCTGGCGTTTTCAAACTGCTCTCGCAACACCAAGAAGTCGATCACATCAGGCATATCATGGTATCTACAAGAAAGAAAACGGACCAACGAGAAGCTTTACTTTTTGGCATCTGAAGCACTTGTAGAAAGACACATGCTATATTTAACCAACTTTTATTTACAATGACTGAATTTGTTTGTTTACTTCATAGAAAAGGATCCTCCAGTGAGTCTCCCAGTGTCCGGATCCAAGAAGGAAAGTTTCAGGCAGCACAGCGTTGGTCGACCAACCTCATACTTGATGCCAACTATCTTCATCAGTTCCTGTTCCTGAATGTCACAAGTGATAGAATACATGAAGAACCTCACGGTTGAAAAACACTGCTTTACATGAACATTCATTTAAAAGACGAGAAATAAAAATATTATATTATATTTCAAGACCAGTGACTCTGTATTTGCTACCCTTTAATTTTTAAACTTAAAAACTAGACAGAGTAGAGAACACTTTACACACTGTAGGAAAGATGTACAGACTGACATTGACAATACTGTCTCCTCGCATGGAAAAAGAAAAGGAAATATACACCAAACTGAAAAAAAAATCTGTTGAGTTCACGAAGGCTGTCGAATGTTTTTTTTTTCCCTTTTCTTCTTTTTATTCCTAAAAAGTTTCACGCAGAGGGATGAACTCATGTACTGTAGTCTGCAGACATTTCTCTTTCAGCTGAAACATTTCAGGGCCAAAGAAAGGACATGAGAGTGAAACCAGTCTGACATACTGAGTTCAGATTCTGTTACTGCTATATATATGTCAACTTGTGAATTTGTGGTTTAGAACAGGTGTGGGTTTAAGATTGAGGCGATATGTTTGTGGGTTATTTTTCCCCTTTTTGTTATATTTACAGTGTATTGCTCTTCAAAAATACATTAAAAACTAAGTACCATCACAAAAACTGTGGTCGAAGACTAGACCATCAAACATTCAATTTGTCCTGAGCAGTTTTATAATTTTGTGCCTGTAAAGTTTACTTTTATGTTTGTAATGAACTGCATTATTATTAGTCTCGCTTTCCGGAAAGTGTTCCTCTGTGCGAAGCCTTTATTGATTTTGCGACATAGTTCTACTGTGCTCTTTATTATGGCCTTCTCCTCAGTGGTTGTAGGTAAAGAGACAAAACAAATCTACACAGGGATGTTGGATCCAACTCTCCCTCCTGACAGACCTGATTCCATCACTGTCAGATGATTCCTTACCCGGAGCTCCATCTTGTGCCAGGGCTGCTTCTTAGGATTGATGTTGTAAATCTTCTTCTGTCTGGCCATCTCTACGTAGGCTTCATGTCCCTGTCTGAAGTAATACACCTGCAAACACATATGCAAATATTAAACACAGCATGACTTTTTTTTTCCTTCTGATGTCAGCAGACGTGGTGAACGTTGTAAATGTGTGTACCTCATCTCCCATCTGGGGAATGTAAGGACATCTCCGTGGGACTGTGTCTGTGATCCAAGCCGAGGGAAGCCACTCCTCCAGAGTGAGCCCTTGCTCTTGAAACTCTGTCCTCTGAAGGTCATAGGGAATGATCAGGAGCCACTCAGTGTTATACATTTATACATAATAGTGAATATATAATCATTCTGCCATCATTGGGAGACAGACATGTTGGACAAACCTTTCTCTTCTCCTTTGGCTTCTTCTTCTTTGGTAATGTGCCATCTTTGTCAGGTTTCTCTTTCTTCTTTTCTTTTTTTCCATCTCTTTTCTTCTCCACATCTTCCTCGGAGCCACTGCTCTTCTTTTTCACCTTAACACTTTTCTTAGGCGGTTCAAGGTTGATTCCCGCGTCTGCTGTCCAGTCAGAATAATCGCTGGAATAGTCACTGTGAAGGATTAAGCGCTGATATTAGGTATTATATAATGTTGTGATTCCCAGACTTTTTTGGCTCGTGACCTTATTTTGACACCACAAATTTCTGGCAACCCCAGAGACCTTTTCTTTTCTATTATTAGTAATCATTATGTCACTGCACATGTCTTACCTGGAGCTGCTGTGGTCATCAGGCCACGGCTCTTTTTGCTCCTCCTCTTTCTCCTCCTCTGAAGAGTGTCCATTAATCTGGCGCACCTCCACCTCTCCCTGGAAACAAAACATTATGTTCTTTTCAAAAAATAATTTTATATATGATATCTTTTTTTATTGTGGGTCTGCTTAAGTAGATTGAGATTAAAATCTCCTTCACGCGTGAGATTTTGAGGAGGCATAAAAGTGTAATGTTATTATCTACCTCCGAGGTGCTGTCATCCTCATCTGCAGCCTCAGCACTCTGACGGCTGGTCTCCTCCATGGCAGCACGAGTGTGATAACCATGGTTACCCAGACTTCTCCTCCCCTCGTCTGCCACACACTCAGATGTGGGATGGACCTGGGAAATGGTAAATGTAAATGTGAGAACAAAAATAGGCATAACAGAAGGTGATAGCCGAGGTAAAAATAAAACAACGTAAAGAAGAAAAATGAGGCATACAGAGAGAGAGAAAAAAAGAACAGAAATAGTTCTGTATTTATACCTATAGATGGAAATGGATGATACAGCTCCCAGATGTAACTGGGAAATTGGTTTTGAAGTGACATGTGTCAATCAAGTGACAACCCCACATTTCTCACACAGACACACACACAGTCGATATAGAGAAAAATAAGTATTTTTTTCTTGTTTGCATGACTACAGTGATCAAAACAACAAGATCCTGTTTACTACTACTGTTACAGACAATCTCACCTTACATGCCTGTAACACAGTACTATCAATTAGTTTGACACGGTGCGTATGAGTATAAGTCTTATTATTCAGTGTTGACAGTGAAGCTCATTCTAAAAAGAACAGAATGAGTTCTATAAACAATCTCTTGTTTATCCACATGTAATTCATACTTTACACACGTGCACATACACATGAACTCATTAATATAGTCATGTGTGCTCAACATTTCTCGTACTGATGATGCCTTTATGTGCTTTATATTAACCTTCAGTTTAATTCATTCAGAAATTCTTATCTAGTTTACAGACTTAAAGTCTGTACCCTCTCGTAATGTAATAATTTCTTGAATTATCTAAAATGGTTTGTTACCCTGCTCTCCTTAGGGAGTGAGTGGATGGTACGTCTCCTTCTTTCAGACTGGTAAATATTGATTTCCTCCTCTCCTTTAGCCTCACGCCAATTCACTTGTCTCCTGTAGAAAATAATAAAACATACACACACTGTCAGCTATTAAGTTACAGTGTTGACATGTTAAGACACAGACAGTAATATTTGATGGAGGTTTTTTTGTATTTTGATCTTTGTGCGTAGTTTTCTTTTTTTTTCTCACCTGACGGTGGCATCCTGCAGCTCGGGAACCAGCACCCTGCGGCTCCAGGCCACCAGGTCTCCCTCTGTGGCTATCTGGCTGCGTGGGGCATTACTGTGCATCTGGCGGACACCCTCGATTTGCCCACTGCGACGAAGACCAACATTTGGCGGGGAATGCACCTCAATTGGGGATCCAACTGATCCTGAAAAGCATAAATTACTTATAGAAATGCTATAATTTATTTCTAAAATCAAACCCTGATTTAATAATTTAGTTAAAAGAAAACCAGGATTTTCTTATGAAGGGTATTTTGGTTTGTGCTTTTCTATTTTCCACATTGTGAGTCAATAAAGTAACAGATTGAAGCAGCTTATGTGGAGACCAGTGACCACTTCAATTTTAAATTACTAGCTCACAATAATACATTTTAACTTGAATTTACATGTATAAATAGCTCAAGTCTTTTTGTTAACATCAAATAGAAAATGTTATGTTTATAGGACATTTCTGTCAGGATTGTGCTCTTACCTCTGCTCGCCCTGTTGTTTGCTGTAGCAGCAGCAGTAGCGGCAGGAACGTCATTCGTCGTTCGTCTTTGGTCTTGTTCTTGCTGCAGCCTCTGAATCATCGTGTCCAGGGGACTGTGTCCGTCCACCGCCTGCTCACTCACCACCTGGTTCAGGCCTGACAGACAAAGAAGAAAAAAGATCACTCAGTGAAAGAGCAAGAGACAGGAAACCAAATCTGGTAAAAATTAATATATTTGAAATCCGTCAGGCATACAGCTCGACCCCAGCAGCTAAAAATGTATTACTTCATGTCTCAGTGCACATTCCACTTTGCAGAAGAAAAGGGCAATGGGGGTTTCCCAGAATCCCAAAGAATCCCAAAAATAACTTTAATAAGGCTGCCAACAGGGCAGGTCAGACACATTACTGTACATCTACCTTCACGTTTCCTCTGTGCAACGCTTAAGAGCTTTGATTAAAAGTTAATGTTTCTTTTTATTTATTTTTAAAAGTGTTTAACTACCCTATTGTAGCCATTATGAGCTGGTAATATAAAACACTATTAATTTAATTCCACTCAGTCACAAGACAAGTTCTTCAGTAAACATACACATCTAAACAGGTCCAGTTGGAAATAGAGCTGGGCGATGTAGCCCAAAAATCATATCACGATATTTACTTAAGTCACAATATACAATAAATACCTCAATGTTAAACAAACATATTCCAAATGACAGATGTATCCTATTTTAAAATAAATACATTTGAATCATTAAATGCTAAACGTTTATTTAATGAAAATATACTTGAATTTATTTTTAACAAAGCACTTTCTCCTTTGTACAAACATGTCGATTTTTAAACAGAACAGTGAACACTTAGGATTTTTTTTTACTTGCAACTTGAAAACTGAATTAATAATAATGCCACTGAATTAAAAATGGTTATTTTCCATATCTGGAGTCTTTGGAGACCACACAGCAGAGATCTGTGACTTGCATGGACTCAGATTACACTTGGGTCTAAATTCGGCCCCTTTACCTGAAGAAGTGACTCCCATCTGTGGGATCAGCTGCTCTTCCCTGCAGCCCTCTCTCCCCGGCACCAGTCGCTGGTATCGAGGCGGGTGAGGATTTCCATCCACATCTACCAGGAAGGGAGGGGGCATTAGGTGCGGAGCCTGCTGAGTCTGCTCATCCAACACATAATTGTTGGCATCGCGGATCAATGGCCGATAGTCAGTGTGGAAGAACATCTGGTCCGCAATCTGACAAAAAACGATTGGGTTCATTAAGGTTTGGCAAAGAGAATTTGAGGCCATCTTCACCTCTAGATGATAAATTGTAAAGTTAGAGGTGTTAGATCAAGTGTAGGTTTGAGATTTTTTTTTACACTGTCATACTTGCTGCTGGAACCAAAGCCAAAGATCAGCAGGTGTCCATGGGAGTCAGTGGCAGAAAAATGCTGCCCATCTGGACTACATTTGCAGTCAAACAAGGCACCGTGTCCTTGACCCTCAATCTATACACGGAGACAGAGAGGAAAGTAGATCATAGTATCACAGTATTATACTACCAGGTGCAATTACATGGACGTGTAGCACTTGTATTAATCCGACCACTTTGTCCTGGGTCACACACATGATGACCAGTACTGTTTACCAAGATATTTAAGTTCCACATAAGAACTGTGTAATATTACTTTCACAAAGTCATACATCACATCAATGCATATTTAAAATAGCACATCATTTATTTAATAAGTGATACAGTGCCATCAATAAATAACAAGTAAGGGAAGAAACACATGAGGAATTTCTCAAGTAATAAGTGAGTTAGCGAAGGGAGCTATTGCTGAATTAAAAGGTCCATGTCTTGTTTTTTTGCTGTAAACATATTTAAAGTTTCAAATCATACTAAACACCTGGGATGTCCCCCCCATTCAACCACAGTAGCACATACAAATTTTACTGCAAGCTGAACTACATCCTTAACGATTTTTTTATTTGCTGAAAGAAAAAGAACAGTTTTACTATTACACACCTAAGGCTAGAGGTCGTGTTTCAAACATGTAGTCAATGTAAAATAGAAAATGTACTAGCAGAGCAAATCAGGTGATATTAAAAAAATGTCCAAACTACGCTCCATTAGAGAAACAGTCCTGCCCTTTCGGAAATGCACCTTTCTCCTAAAAATTATGTTGTTCTTAAATACATAGTCAGAGACAGAGACAGAGACAGAACCAACAATAATCATAATAATAACAATAATAACAACTTGAACATTACTGATCCCACAATTGAGTAATTATTGCGTTAACTGCAGATCTGCTGCAATAGGCTGCCCCTTGGAGGCTCCAAAAAAACGTATTCCTGTTTATTTTTTCACAGTAGAATTTTTTTTGAGTCATTATTGTGACTACAAGAAACAACAACAGTGAATCTGTATTTTTCTAAAAATGTTTTATCCTCCATGAGGTCCAGGGCCTGTTCAAGACTGATCTCTAACTGCGATCAACACCAGGACTCAAACGACTGACCAGCCCTCTGGGTGAGTCACTTGTTTTGAGGCCATGATGAATGACACCCTCAGTTACCATGGAGACACAAGAAGGAAGTACAACTTTTTTTCTGTTCATGTAAATTAGCAACCCAGATGAAAATCTATGGCCACATGTGCACACGAGTGCAGTGACATGAGTTCACTACTGGCATGACTCATGCACACGGCCCTGCACAATGATGCACTGCATGGAGGGGTGAGTGTAGGAGAGTAAAAGAGAAAGTGAAAGTACAAAGGTAAAAAGAGAGGAGGAGTGGGTGAGAGTAAGAATGGGAGACATAGAGTGACACTGGGGAGGGAATAAGGAATGAATAGGCAAATAAGAAATTAATATTTTACAACACAAAACAATATTAAATTATAATTGTAATTATGTGTAATTCTATTAATGCGAGAAAACTGCATCTTCATCTGTTCATGTTCAGACCTAACCAATGAGCAAGGCAGTGCAACTGTGATTTTAATTCCACTGTGTGTAAAAAAAAAAAAACTTCTATAAAAGCATCATGTCTTGAAGCCTTGCACACTCTAGTTGCAAAACGAAAGAGATAAGTGGCTGTGAAAAAAGGGTTAAGGGTTTTCCCCAGGTTTATCTGTCGTCAAATAAAGACAGACACAGAGTATCGACCTCATTCAGGTGTAAAAAGGTTTCCAACCGAAGCGTCCATGCAGCCAGAAAAGCAGTGAAAGCCGGTGTCAGTGAGAATCTTACCATGTTGAAATAGGAGCGGATCTTGACCCCCCTGGCAAGATCCCAGACTATACAGTTCCCATCATGCCCCGCTGAGAATAGGATTCGTGGATCGAAGGGGTGTGGCTCCAAAACAAACACCTCGTCCTCATGACCCTGTCATTAAATGACACAGAAGTCGGGTATAAGGCACTGTTAAGAAACGAACTGAGACAGGGGGTGGAAGTCAATGGGGTGTAGTAGTCCCAACAGACCAGAACTGTGAGTAAACATTTGAGCTCATTAATGCCGAGGCAAATATTAGCACTTCCCCCTGTTTGTCTGTTAAAGCCACTGTCTTACAATGGGTGTTTAATGTAAGAAACAAAACAGTCCACTACTGATTACTGCAGTAATGGCTGCTTCATTACACGAGATCCTGCTCTTATGTTGCATCAAATTTATGCTAAACTGACCTGACTTTAGAAATTGACTTGATCTCCCCATGTAATCGTTCACCCCGGCTGCGGTAAAATAAGCACATGCAATACCTAACTATGTAACTGTAGGGTCAGTACTCCCTGTGTCCATCAATTCATGCAATCAATGTAGAAATGTTCAAAATGAAAACAATGAGCACTCCAAAGACACTGGTTTACTACTGATTGTTACATATAATGTTGAAGATAATTCAGCAGTTTAACTGAAGCAACATAAAAAACAACTGGTGCAGTGAAGCGACTGTGAAAGTCTGGGCAAAGATTTTTAACAAGACAAATAGCTTTAGGAGAGTGACATGGGCAGGAAGTAGAGATTGAATATTGTGTCTTTTTTCAGATACACAATTTATAATTCTGTATATTTTTACTCTCCAGGACAATACAGAGTAAAAGTATGATCTGCACTGCATTGCTTTTCTTTTGTTAAATCATACAAATGTGATTTTACTGTGTTTGTGTGTGTTTTTTTAATTATCTCATACCATCAGCACATGGACGAGATTTCCGGTGGTGGAGTTCCACACCTTCAGTGTCAGATTGTTGGCTGCGGTGATCACTGTGCTGTCATGTCGATCCCACGCTACCATGGTAACCTTCAGCTTGGTCACCTTGTCTTCCAGTGGAGGAGGATTGTACTTTCTGTGGAGAGGATGACAACATTATATATATATTATATATTATCATCTAGTATGTGTTCAATGTTTTAAAGTCTGTACACACCAAAATATTTTCAAAATAATCAATCTTTGGGAAAGACGCTTATTTTTGTACACAGATTTTATCTGTTATTTATTGTCCCTTTCATAGTCTTCACAGCTTTATGTCATCATCCACTGCAACAAAGTCAGTCCAGGTATAGTGAGAACCAGGAATCTAAAAATAATTCATTGTTGTCACCATTGTAGTGACATTGCCTGGCATTATTGATGAGGTGTAAAAAGAAAATCATATTTCATGTCAGTGCATATATTCATGGACTTTTGGGAGTTATTTTTTCAATATTATAGGATATTTTGGGACAACTAGAAACAGATTTTACAGTACTGTGGGTCCTTTGGTATTTTGCTGCCTGTCACTGGTGTCCTTTTATCAAATGTAGTTGAACTCCACAGAGATTCAATATTTAGTCTGAAAACAAACAGCTGCCACAAGGTGCAAACACGTTTTTATTATTTATTATGTGGTTACAATAATGAAAACACTCACCTAAGTATATTAGAAAAAAATATATAGCACATAAAAACATAATATAAAAACTAGACTGTGGACTTTATAACTAGATGTTAATTTCAGTTTTTTTCTCAAACAACAGGTCTTAGATTTAACGCTTGATTTTTGTGGATATATAACTTGACATTTTAACCCACAGGACAACCTTAGCCCCTGGCGTTGGGCTCAGAGCAGAGCAGTTCTGCTGACCACCACACACACAGCCACACACTCTACGTAGACATACACTCACTTACCCCGGTAATTTGGTCTGCATGTCCAGCAGAATGCTTCTCCAGCCCTGAGGCTGCAGCTGCCAGATCCTTGCTGTACCGTCCCTGCTGCCACTCACAAACCTACACACACACACACACACACACACCCACACACACACACACACACACCCACACACACACACACACACCCACACACACACACACACACCCACACACACACACACACACACACACCCACACACACACACACACACACCCACACACACACACACACACACCCACACACACACACACACACACACCCACACACACACACACACACCCACACACACACACACACACACACACATTTTATTAACACAGAATCATGTGCAGCAGCTAAAATGACACTTCTACTCAAGGTCTTTGCAGTACAATGGCTGCTTTCATCAGCACACATCAGTACAAAACTCCTGTAAAGCACGGTTCTCCTTAGTCCTCCCTTTTACACTGACAGTCTCCCTGCCTCACCGCTGCACTCAGAGAAGCCCCAGAGAATTAAAGCTGAGCGTGTTTTTTTCTGCAAACTCCACACAGATAAACACATATATTCGAGCTGAGTTGGAGCATGAGACAAATAACAGTGAGTGCATGAACGGTCAAGTGTGTGTTGGTGGGAGAGAACTGGAATAAAGAGTATTGGAAACATGTATTAGAAATAAGTAAGAAGGCTGTTTTTGCTGACACGAACAAGTCACATTACAACACCCTGAGGTTCTCTTATAAACAAACCGGGGTGCCCAAGCAAAAAAACAACCACATCAACAATGTGGCACATGCAAAACGCAAAACCTGTACAGACTCACCTGTCACTGCAATGTGAAAATTGGATGCTGTCAACTTTGTCCTTTGAGGGAAAAACAGAGGGAAAAAGTCAGAACAGCATTTTTTTCTGCAGTCCTTTTAAAACACTTTTATTTTGCATTATAAAAAAAGTCTCCCTTTTAAAAGAAAAAACAAATTTATTCTAAAGATTTCACACCAGCATTTAAATCGCCAGAGCAATTCATTAAGGAAAGTAGATAAAAGCCATTTAATTGAGTTTCCACTGCCAACATATATAATTATATCTTATTATTATATCACATTATATCTAAGTGAGATATAATGTGGAATAATTGTCTAAATGTTTTGGTGTAAAATGTCAATAAAATTGGCCAATGCCAGGTCAATGTATTATTGAATTATTATCAAATAAACAATAATGGATGAAGTGTGTTTTCTTACTGTATGAGACTCCAGTTCAGAGATCTTCTCTGGCTGCCCTGAACCAAAGTAGTACACCCTGATGATGTGATCTGTGCTTCCTGTGGCCAGGAACATCCCACCTGAAAACACATAGGGTGTCAGAATGACTTTAGTATGACACCCAGGGGTCAGACACTGAATACAAATCACATTTTTATTATGCAAGCTAAAGTGACAGAGAAGGTTGAGAAGTGTGTTGATGGTCACCTGCACTGAAGGAGGAGCAGATCATCTGGACCCCAGGCCTGGAACGCTCTGTGAATTTACTCGGCCTGTGACTGGACAGAGAAGCAAGAACAGTGGATTCAAATTTTTGTTTAGTACAACACAGTTGACGTCCACTCCAGCCTCGGTGTAACAACCTGTATCAACCTAGGAGATCTATGTAGTGATAATGTCCACACTTTATGTTACTGGTGTAATTACAGTGTGCATCATCGTATCGATTAGATAAAACAAAACACTAAAAAAGCACCAAAAAAAAAAAGCTTTTTCAAAATATGTGCTGTCATATTCCTCACCCAAACTTTAATGTCCGTGCATCCCACTGCCAGAAACAGATGGTACCGTCAGCACCAGTGGAGGACAGGTAGCGCTTGGAACCACTACAGAGAGGTGAAAACTGCAAGCACACCCGAGAAGTTAATGTCAAACTCTGTCACGACATTATTTATATTCCAAAGACTACAGACAGATAAACTAATGCAACAGAAACTAAATAAGAGCGAGCACATTAGGCAGTGTCCATAGCAAAGATTGAGTGATATATTAGCAAAGAACATTGTACTTAAAACCAACAATATAATTTACAAATGTGTGTTTTATCTGATGTCGTCCTCCCAAACATCCAACACATCCATTTCCTCCTACCTGTAGTGAGGTGATAGAGGCGGCGTGTCCTTCTAGCACAGCGAGAGGTGCACATGTCTGCAAGCACCACACCCTGATGGTCTTGTCACAGGAACCGGCGGCTATCATGGTGTTCTCGTAGCTGACGGTCATGTCCGAGATCTCAGCAGCATGACCACGCAGCGTCGCCAGCAGGCGTCCGTCATCGGTTCCCCAGATCTTAACAAGACAGTCATCGGAGCCCTGGAAGAGACAGGAGGGAGGAGTCAGTGTGGCTATGGACCAAGACTAGAGATTTGGTTTGAGTTTGAGAGGTTTCCTGTCTGCTTTTGAATCACAGGTCCCGTTAAAGAATCAGAGGATTTAAAAAAGAAAATAGGACTCTCCAGGTGGGATATAAATGATTAATCTGTGGCACAAAGGATATTTAGTCTGGATCATTACACCATTGGTTTGACCTGATCGCTGCCAATAATGATGATGCCTCTACAACTGCCATGTAAACACATTTCCCATAATGCTGAGTAACATAAAGTGTTTATCCGAAAAACAAACAATCTTGTAAATGTTTTCATCTCAGAATCCCAGCTTCACAGCATGTGGCAGGAAAACCAATCCAAATTCCTGCTCCCACCAATATTAATCTCTTCAAAACAGCAAAGTTGCAATCCGCAAGTAACTGTACAGTACGATCACTCAAAACAACGGAGGAGAAGAAATCCTGAATTACCTCCCAGGACTGATATTTTTCAGTCCTATAAGACTGACCTGCCCACACTGTGTGTAAACCCAGCACTGGTTGAAATAAGGCAGAAAGAGAGAGATAAGTGTAATCTCTCAGTGTAGAGAGAGACTAATGTGTAGTGGCTGAAGACTCAGTAAGACCTCACAACATGTCTCATTTTGACCAGTGTTGCTTTAGTTTTCTCTTTAAAAAAAACTGTGCTGAAAAGGTCTGTTAGATACAGAACAATTTTATACATTTATCCAGACGGAAATCAAAATTAACCACTGATTATATTTGTTTAAATTAAATGTGTATGTGTGATTAATACAAGACATTACAGTGGTGAACTGTGTTTTAACTGTATTGGTATAATGTATTATTTTTTTAGTCCAATTAGAGTACACAAAGATGCAGTAATTTGTAAGTTTAACAAGTCAACCCGTGGGATTTCTTTAAAACAGAACCCAGAAGCAAATGCCCAATTTAAATGAAAAAATATTTGCAAACAGCCAGAGGGGATGCAGATAAAAATATCCAACCAATATTGAAAATATTATTATTATTTTTAAAATTCAAATTACACACACACTATCTTAAACAACTGTGTTCTTTCATTTTCATTAAAATCTTAATGTGAGAAATGTGAGAAAAAGAGAAATGTGTTTTTTACATTAGGAAAATACCAGACACATATCACAGTACTTTTGGCTATCATATGACAGTAAACAACTAACCTGTTTCCAACACTGGCATGATGATAAATAAATAAAACATTATATTACAGCTGTTTGCTGATACCTAATATATCTGCAAGAAACTTTAAGACAGAGTGCAGTCAACATAACAGACACTAACACGTCCTTGGTATACATCTTGAGTACTTTTAGCCAAGATCACACACAGAGCAGAGTGTGACGAGAGATGTAAATGTTAGTGGACAGACGGCTGGCACAAATTAGTAGTGACAACCTAACACTAAAAAAAATATGGACAAAAAAAAATCTAAAAATCTAAGAAAGATGTGTAGCACAAACTTCCCACAGACGTGAAGTTATGGTGTGTTATATCCAATTTATCTATAGTCACAGAGACAAACAATCAATAGCAGCAGGTATAATTTGTCCTTCCTAGTGGCCATGATAATGAGCTCGAAGCCCCTTCTAAAGCTATATTACTCAAATCAATATGGCCGTTTGCCAATGGACTGTTTAACCAAACCTATATGCATGTGGCCATTGATCACACATGACTACAGTAAATGTAAGGGATAAACTATTTAATCAATTACAAGTCCTGCCTGCCACTGCAGCAAAGTCAGAGAAACGCAGTCCTAATTCAAATACGGGGGAAATATATAAATAAAATTGATCTTGTGATGAAAGGAGACGGTGAGAAAAAAGGGAGAGAAAAAAACTGAGCTGTGAAGAAAGAAAACAAAAAAAGGGGAGAAGAAAGTGAGGGAGACTAAGAACGAATTTTAATTCTGGCATTTAGCCAATGCCTCAGAGGAAACATTTTCTCCTGTTATGATGAGAAATAGCAAGGAGGGAGGTGTGGGGGGAACAAAAGAGAGGCAGTGCAGCATTTGGGACGAGGGGAGAGAAAAAAGAAAAATAGAGAGAGAGAGAGAGAGAGACAGAGAGAGAGAGAGAGAGAGAAAGGGAAAAAGAGAGACAGAGAGTCAATCCACCCCCCGCCTCCCCTCTCTCTCAGCAGACAGCCATTTTTAGAGATTTAAGAAGTGAAAGCTGAAAATGGTGTACAGCAGCAGGCAGAAAGCAATCAGACGAAGGGCAACGTTAAATCAACATTATCTCATTCTTTGTTCGATATTCAACACAGAGCTGGAGCACTGTAGCACGGACTTTAAACTGACACCTTACACAGCAACATGAGCAGTTCACTATACTTGTTCAGGAACCCAAAGTCAACTTCTCTGCTTTCAAATTACTTTTTTTTTTTTGCTCTAAACGTGACA